AAGAAGTCTAGAATCAGAACTCCCAGGTTCAGTACTTGAGGGGAAAGACAGACTTTAAAAGACCTGCCCTTTCTTAGCAACGTGAGAACTGTCATTCCTTTTCCAACTGACTCATAGGTCAAATTTTTAAAGCCCCTTCCTATAATTTTTATATGAGACTGAGGCTCCCAGGGTGAGAGCAAATTCTGTCATTTTAATACCGTTACAAAGTGGGCTCTATATTTTCACTCACCCAAACCAAACACTCCATCATTATGCTCTCTAGTATAAACCATAGCAGAATAAAAAGGGGAAAAGTGCAGCAGCAACAAGATCAGTGTCAATAAGAGTAGGGGCTGACATCATTTAGGAGCTGTGGGCTACAAGGAAGCTTTTTCTGACGACCTTAGTCCAGTGATGGATCTTTCCAAATTGTTAAAGAAGATTCCGTCTGTACTGCTCATTTACCCTCCATCCCATCCGGCCACACCTTAGATCTTTCTTCGGACGTCCCTTGACTGGTCCAAGTAAATAGTAAACTATGTGTAGGGGCCTCACTCCCCACCAGCTCTACCAACCCAGAGCATCAAGCTGGCAGGTGCTGGACAAAGTAGTATAATCTGTAAGTGTGACTTTCCCTTCGCCTAGTCTACCTAGCAGGTAGTCACGGCCTCGAAGATCCCAGGAGCCGTCCGGCCCAACGTCCCCACGCATCAGGCGGGACCCTCCATCCGCCGCTGACTTGGGCATCCCGCCAGAGATGGAGCGCTTCCGAGCTGCCCCCGGCAGCGCCCCGGCGGAAGGACTCGGCCTCCACACTGGCGGACGCCCCGAGGCCCCAGCCAGGGGAGCCGGCCTCGCCCAGCCTGGCTGCGCCCCCGCCCGTGCCCCGACGCGGCCCTCACTTGTGCGTTTGCTGGTAAAGCGGCTCCATGTCGCCGGCCCCGCCGGTCCGGCCCTGGCTTCCTCGGAACACGTCCTCCCAGCCCCGCTTCCGGCTTGCGGCTTCCGGCTTCCGGTCGCAGGACCCGCCCCCTCCTGCCGACCAGGGCTGTCCCCACGCGCGCCCTGCTGGCGGTGGTGGCGAGAGAGGAGGAGGGCAACGGGAGAAGAGGCCCGGGCGCGAAGGCTAAGTGTAGTCAGAGGCGCTGCCGCAGGTTGGGGACGAGGAAGCATAGGTTTTGGCAGGGGGCGATCGTCAGCATCGAGTCAGGCGTTTGACAAGGGCAGTCGGAGAGGACTGACGTGAGGTGCTCAGAGCCCGGCTGCGGGAGAGCAGGTGCATACCTGCCCTTCGCTGTAAACTACCTAACTGTGGGTCCGGAGATTTCGCTCTTCACTGGCCTTTCTGACCCAAGCTTCTCCTATGTCAAATCTGTCCGTTTACTGCCCCCCCCCATTCATCCTTCCAATAAACTCACAATGAATGAGTGGTTACCACGTGTCGTGTGTGCTGTGGGAGAAACCGGGTTCCTCTTGCCCTCAAAAGAGGTCGCGTTCTAGGAAAGGAAGTAAGATAAAAGTACAAATAAACATCTACAAGGGAGAAAGTCCAAAGAGACTGAGCCGAGCTGGGGTCAGCCCCGTCGGAGATTCAGGAAAGACTTAATGTAGGAGCTGGCATTTGAGTTGGGGCTTGAAGGATTTGGACGCTTCGGTCTCTCCACGTAGACCTAACCCGTGTCCACCCTCCCAGGCTTATCTGCAGTTCCTCTCAAGGGAGGAGATGTTCCTCTTCCTTTGACAAGTTGATGCTTTTATTTTCCTGTATCCTGGAGCCCACCCAGTTTTGTGTCCCAAGAGACTGTCCACTCATGTACATTCTTTCCCTAACATTTTTCCATTTATTCTAATATTTATTTATTCATGAGCACCTACTATTACTAGGCACAGATCCTGGGGGGAGGAATACAAGGTAAGTTACCCTCAAACGTCTCATCTCTCATAGTCTGTTGAGAGGGCTAATTATGCCCTCAAGCTACATGATCAGGTAGAATAAGTGCTATAAATGGTACAAAGTACCATTTTTCTGAAGAAAAGCACAAAGGGTTCATGGACTAAATAGAGATGAAGGGAAGGACATTTGAAGGTGAGGATATAGCTTGAGAAGAGGAAAATCGTGAGAAAGAACATTAGACCTCCCGTGGCTGGGTTTAGGGAGCTTGGGGCAATAGTAGTGTTAGAAAGAAAGTTGGAGCCAGATCATGGAGGATCTTAAATGTCACGTGTAGATTTTTATTTACAAATTTTTTAAAAATTCTATAGGTAGTTAGAAGCTTTTAGAGGTTGGATAGAAATTTTAAATTTTCTCAAAGAATTTTTATACCTACATTTTGCTCTTCTTTGGACCTCACAGCATCCCCGTGAGGTGGGTAAGGCCGATAAGGAAATTGAAGTCCAGAGGACCTCCCCTCTGCTTCTCAGGCTCTTAGGTCTTTATATGGGCATAGGGCTTTCTCTAAAGAGAAGAAAACTCCATCCCTCCATCTTGCTGCATTTTTAACTTCTATCTCATTTTCTTTTATGACTAAGCCATCTGGACAGTTGATCTACACTGCCAACATCTCTGTGGGTGGCTTGCCTTCCAACCTCTCCTCTGTTCTCCTAGAACTGTTTTCTAGCTCACCAGAGTCTACCTCACTTAGTCCAGTGGTCTCTTTCCATGAATCTTCATACATATATTCATTAAACTCATACTATGTATCAGGCACAATGCAAGGATTGGGGCACAAAGATGAATAAAACATCCATCAGCTTGCCATAGAAGTTCTTTATTTTTTATTTAAAATCAATTAAATAACATATAGTGTATTATTAGTTTCAGAGGTAGAGTTTAGTGATTCATCAGTTGCATATAACACCCAGTACTCATTACATCAAGGGCCTTTTTAATGCCCATCACCCAGTTACCCCATCCCTCACCCAACTCTCCTCCAGCAACCCTCAGTTTATTTCCTACAGTTAAGAGTCTCTTATGGTTTGTCTCTCTCTTTGATTTTGTCTTACTTTTCCTTCTTTAATATACACATCTACACAGAAGGGAAACATCCACAGAGATATTTAGAATATCATGTGGTGAGTGTGGAATAGAGGTGATTACGAACTATGTGATGACAGAGAAGTGACACTTAGCCTAGTTTGGGGATTCAAGAGGACTTCAAAGAGAAGATGATACCCGAACTGAGTCTTGATTTATTTCTTTAAAGCTAGTTACATTATTACTCATGATGCTGCATCAACCTTCACACTGACATGAATACCGACGACCCAAAGTTTGTTACTATGCTTCACTGATGATGACACTAATGGCAAATTTTCCCCAGGGTATGCAGGAAAAGATGAATAATAATTCACTGTTAAGAATTTTTTAGTATAAATTTATAATAATATAACTTATATATAAGCTATTATATATTATGTATATATATATCTATCTTCCAACTATGTCTTTTCTTCCATTCTTTAGGCCTTAATCCCTGCATTCCTAGAATATGATCTCTTTCAGTGTTGACTGCACCCCTGCCTTCCCCACACTGAAACCAGTTGGCAGAGGAGAAAGGGTAGTTAGTCTGGAGGTGCATGGATGAAAAAAGAAGTCCCATTCATGCAAGGAATACATGGCCTTCCCCTAGCCCTACTTAAGACTGACTCAGTGGCTCATGACATCAATAGAGTGATCAAAGGAAAGAGAAGACATTGATTGTAAAAGCCAGTCGGCAGAGTAATTGTCTCGAGCAGAGAAGACAGACATGGCCACCTCTGGTGGACTGCCTGACGTGCAGTGCAAAACCTGTGGTGGGCGTGGGGTAATCACCCTTACCAGGGAAGGTGGGGAGCCCCACATGGGGCAAAAAATGCTGCCAGCCCCACTATTCTGGTGTGTTGTAGACTGGAGGCAGGCTTGTGGTCAGAACACAGGCTGGCAAGAGCCATGACGTGGACCCAAACAGGTGGCTCAGCTCCAAGGGTCAATGGTGGACTGTCAGTAGCCCAGAGTCCTGAACTCATCCTGTATCCAGTATGAATGGGAATCACCCCAAATCAGCAAGTCAGTACCATTCAGGTGGGGTGACCTTGGGCAATGCCACAAAAGAAATACTGTGCTGGTAGACAGAAGCAATCTTCTTGCCAGATCGCCCTGGACAACCCACAGGCATGGGCTCTGGAGCTTTTCAGGGCACTTGGTCAATCGATACCACGTATGGGGTGGAAGGTTGGACAGTATCCCGAAGTGCAGAAACAGAGGAAAATGATCCCAGCCACTGAAGGGGGACTTAGAAAAATTCAGAAATAGCACACCAAAGTGGGGTCCCACAGGCCTGGGACCTGGGCCAGGGACTTCACTTGCCCGGATCTTAGGACTATATCATGTTGCAGAATAAAGGTGGTCTCATATTCTTTGCTCCCATTAAAAGATGGAGTCTAATTCCATTTCCTTTTCAATCTGAGCTGGACTTAGTGACTTGTGTAATCAATATAATGTGGCAGAAGAGAAATGCTGGGTTTCCCAAGGCCAGGTCATAAGAACTCTTGCAGTTTCCACCCAGCTTTTGGGAGCACTCATGCTGGTAAACCTGAGTCACCTTGGAAGAAGTTCAACTACCCTGACACTATCATTCTGGAAGGCCCGTATGTGTAGGTGCTCCACTCAACATGCTCAGCTGAGCCAGATCTCCCAGCCAAGGCACCAGACATGTAGGAGAAGCCATCTCGTACCCTCTGTACTAGTCTATCTGCCAGCTGAATTTCACCCAGTGATCTCAACAGGAAGAAGAATGGAACTGAAGGATCATCGAACTCAGGCTATGCCTGAATTCCTGTCCCAGGAAATCAAGAGATAACAGCAAACTGGATGAGATTTTAAGCCACTGAATTTGGGGATAGTTTGTTATACAGCAATAAATACCTGACCTCAAAAAGTTTGTTATCTAGATGGAGAGACAGGGTACAGGACTTATGAAAAGGTAACAATGCCATAAAGACAATTAGGTTCTGTCAGAATGCAGGGAAGGAAGAGATACCTTTGAATGTGGATGATGAAAGAAGGCTTTCCAGAAGGGATGAGATTTCAGCTGGACCTTGAAGTAACAGGAAAGATTAAGACGTATGGAGAGGCAGGCGCAGGGCATTCCTGGCAAGCCGGGAGGTAAACTTGGCAAGGTGGAGGGAGTCCCGGGCAGTCTGTGTGGTTCCTCTGGGCCAGAGCAGAGGGTCGCTGCAGTAGAGAAAGATGACGCTGGGATGCTGACAGGACAGATGCATGGGGAACGTCTGCAGGGCTTTGAGCCTTGGCTAATGGAGTCAAGCAACATTTCAGGAAAATCAATACGATGCCTTCATGCTCTCTCCTTTTATTTAAGCTTCAAGAGGTGCCACACCGTTCTATGGTTCCAGGATTTGGCACACCAACTCGGGATCAACCTGTGTGTTCCCTTTGTGGTGTGCTAAACTTGAAACCTCTGAAGAGTATTTTTGACCTGTCCAATTTGATGGAACTTAATTCTTGTCTCTGAAACCAAATTAATCTGTTGTGTGTCTCTGGCTGCCTCGTTCGGTTCCTTCTCCTAAACTGTCAGTGCTCCCTATACTCCCCACCCTGGTCTCTGCCCCCCGCTCCCGGCGCATCTCCTAGTCCTGTTTCCTTCTGAGCCCCCTTGCCCCTACTGTCCATCCCATCTGTGCCACACACCAGCATACCAGCTCAATTCCCCTACCGGACTATGAGAGCCCGTCGAGAGGTCCCATCATTCCTCAACCACTCCCTCCCCTTTTCAATCATCTTCTTGAATGATGCCCAAGCGATCCTTCTAACACAGAGATTTGCTGTCATAGTTACACTGGGATTTTTGATAGCTCCCTGGTGCCTACAGAACCCGGTAAAAAATTCTTATCTTGGCAGGCAGAGCCTTCTTTACTGACCACATCCCTGGCCATTCCCTCCATCCTCACTAACATGATTGCAGCTGTTCTCACAACGGCTTTGGTGTCCTCTTGCCTTTGCATGCACTATTCCCTGTGCTTCAGACATCCTTCCCTCTGCCTCAGGCCCGATTAACTCCCACTCATTCAGGTCTCAGCTCTGGTTTCACCTCCCTTGGGGAGCACCCCTGACACCCAGGCTGGAGGGAAACCCCTCCCCCGTGCCGCTCTGGCACCTGGTGCTCCTACTTCGCACTTGTCACAGGTGTCCCAGTTCTGTGTCCACCAGCCTGAGGGCGGGAGATGGGGCTTTCTCCGCTGCGCCTTCCCAGCATCCAGCTCAGTGACTGGTATTAGTTATGTGCTTGCTGAATATCTGTTGCCTTGCAATGGACTCTGTTTTAATCAACTTGTTCTCCTCAGTATTCTACCTGCCTGCCATTTCGGAAGCCCAGAATTATTTGAGGGTCGACTTTTGGGCAATTAGAAACGGCCTGCATCACAGGAGCCATCTTTTTTTAAAGATTTTATTTATTTAAAAAAAAAAAAGATTTTATTTATTTATTTCACACACGGAGAGAGGGCTAGAGAAACAAGTGGGGGAAACAGTAGAGGGAGAGGGAGAAGTAGACTCCCCGCTGAGCAAGGAATCTGACGCGGGACTCAATCCCAGGACCCTGAGATCATGACCTGAGCTGAAGGCAGACGCTTAACGACTGAGCCACCCAGGCGCCCCCAGAGGGGCCATTCTTGCTGAAAGCCTCATCACTTGCAACCAGTGCAGAGTGTTAAACAAAATGCCTCCTTCTCAAGTACTTTCTCAACAGGTTCTCATTCTGTGCTTGTAAGTACCTGGTTAGGGGACAGGACCAGCATCGCCACCCCGGTTTTCTAGACACACATCCTGAGCCTCACAGAAATGAGCTTGCTTGCCCAAGCTGACGGTGGGTAGGGGAGCTAGGTCCAGGCTGCAACCACACACTGCCCCCCGAGGGGCTGTTGGTTCATCCTGCCGTTCAACCCAAAGAGGGCCTTGCCATAGAGAAGTTAAGACACCTCTGATGGCTTCTGCTTTGGACAGCAACAAAACCCTAGTCATTCTCCAAAGCCAGAGAAACATAATCTCACCGCCTCTGGGTTTGCTCCCCAACCCCTTCGATTAAAGCTGAGCAGACAGAGGGGATGGCATTTCTGAATTCAGAGGCTGCAATGAGCTAAGAAAAACAAGCATCTGTGGCTCCTTCCAGGACCCACCAGGTGGAGGGGATGTTGCCCCGGGTGCTGTGGGAGGTGGGGAGGGGGGTCCAAGGAAGCTGCCCTCCATGGACAGTCCATCAGCAAATTGTCTCATGTAGCACATAACAGCCAGGAGCAAGGTGGGGGAAGCAGGGTTTTGTCCAAGGAGAGCCAATGTATTGTAAACAGGATAAAAGGGGCTGGAAAGCCCCACTTATCATTGCTAATGTGTCCCCAGGTCATCGGGGAGCTAGACCCCCACCGACAGCCCTGAGCAAGGAAAAGAGAATTCCCGATTAACCCCATCACCTGTGAACAGAGCCAGGGCAAAGGTCTGGCTTTTCCTCTTGCTAAGTGATTCCCAGGGTCATTAGGCATTTGTGGGGATCAGCACAGTTTTTAGGAGGCCCTCTGCCAGACTAGAGAAACGCCTTCTGGTCCTCGGCTCTTTGGGGTCACATGGAGCAGGCTGTATGTGCTGCGGGTGTCCTAGGGAGGAGAGGAGGTCTGAGGAAGGCAGAGGCAGCATGAGGTTGGGAGTTGTTGTAGGGGGGAGGGTGGTGGTCGCCTGGTTCATCGCGGGGGACAAGGAGGTCTGTGTGTCAGCACATGGAGCAATAGATTGGCTTAATTCAGACTTGAGGAACTGAGAGATTGCCCTCTGGACTCTAATGATCTCATTCATTCCTTACAAGCCCCTTGTGGGCAGGTACATTAAATTACAGATGAGAAAACCAAGCCTCAGGGAGTTTAAGTGCCCAAAGTGACCCAGTGGGTGGCCTGCGCTCAGTCCTCACTAGCCAGCAGCCAGGGCATGGCAACTTCAGCTGGAGTAGGTGTACCTGGTCGATAGGTAAGTGTGGCAACTTCTGAGGGATGCGTGGCTCAACTGAGTTCCGCTTTCCTCTGAACATACTTTACCCATCCCAAGAGCCTTCCTTGGTCCTCTCGATCTCCTCCTTTTGGGTTCGCATTTTCCTGGACCATGGAGGCACAGGATAGTAGGAAGACTTCAGTATTGGATACAGAGAGCCTGAGTTTGATTTTCCTTTGAACTTGATTCTTTGGACAAATCAATTCATTCCTCTGAGCTTCCGCTTCCTTCTCTGTTAGACGGCGACAATAATACCCACTCTGTGTACTTTACCGAGTTGAAGGAGGATTAATGAGAAGGGAAACGAAGGGTTTTGCATGAGATTCGAGGGTTCATTATTTTCACAGTGACTGTTGCGAGACCTCCTGAGTAAATTTCTTGCCTCCAGTTTTCTCTCCACCGCCCACCTGCCTCTCCAGGCATATCGCTTTCAGATCCACCTGCCTAAAATACTACCTTATGCACGTCTTCTGCTCGGGGACCATCGGTGTCTCCCTGCTACTATTTCCTTGGCCTGGAACTCACCTTTCCTGGTCTGGCCCATCTCCAGCTCCCAAACCCAGAGCCTCTGCTTCCTTGCCTGACCATGGGCTTGAGTCACAGATCCCACTTGGGGTGTCCAAACACACTGTGTGTTCTCATCCTCTGATACCTGTGGGCCTGTGGCTCCTTAAAGTGATCTATCCCTTTTCCAAACTGGCTCAGATCCCAACCCCTCCTCCAGCCGACTTCCTGACCGCCCATCCTGTAGCAGCCTCTCTACCCTCTTGTCTTCATCTTTCTCTGTGCCTTAGCATTCACCTCCTGGGAGTGTTGGCTTTCCATGGATAATATGTCTCCAGGTTAGATCATAAGCTTCTTGAGGACAAAGACCTGCTAGTGTCTTCCAATCAATCTGCTCAACTAATCTAGGCTAGAGAGGCAGTGGGCTTAAGGGAATGTCCTCAGCAATCACTCCATCTGCATGTCAGGAGACAGTGCCTTACCCCAACATGTGCCCCTTGAGCAGCAGTACTTTGAGGATCTGGCTCACATGAGGGCTCAACATACATCCATGAATTGACTAGAGCTGTAGCAGGCCAGTGTGTGTGTGTTGGGGGTTGGTGTTTAGCAGGTGACAACTTAGTGGGACCTGGCAAAGGGTGCCAATCTAGAAGTCCTCTATTCTACAGCCCCATGGGCTTGCCCCAAGCATGTAGGAACCCCTGTGCCATCCCCTTTCATCTCTGCCCTTCACTGAGTCTTCTGGGTTTTAGGTGTGGAGTGGGAAGCAGGAGGCATGCAGAAATTTCCTCCCATGCCCTTGATAACCAGTGAACTGATAACCAATCAACCTGCTCATTTACCATCAGAGGAGCTGAGTCCTTAAGAGGGGATGTGACCTACGCATATCACCCAGAGTTCAAAGCCTAGCTGGGGTTGGAATCTGCATGTTTTGATTCCAGTCCAGGGCTTACCTCCCTACCTCTGGGTGACACACACATGACAAGGCCCTGTAGTCAGGGCTTCTAGAAGTGCAGGTCTGGGAACCAGAGCTCAGGAACCATCCCTGAAGCCTTGTCTTCAACATGCCAAGAAGTGAAGCAGGCTGATCCAGACTGAAAAGTCTCTAAGAAGGAGTCTCTAGGCCCCTCTCTAAGGCCTCTAACCTGCCATACCTTGGTACATCCTATCTGGTTGTTTTCTCCCCTTGAAATGAAGGTGCTGTCGGGACGCCTGGGTGGCTCAGTTGGTTAGGCTTCGACTCAGGTCATGATCCCAGGGTCCTGGGATTGAGCCCCACATTGGGCTCCCTGCTCAGTGGGGAGTCTGCTTCTCCCTCTCCTCCCTACTCGTGCTCTCTGTCTCTCTCTCTCTCAAATAAATAAATAAAATCTAAAAAAAAAAAAGAAATGAAAGTGCTGCCCCCACAGTCCAAGCTCCATGCGCTGTCACAAGCTGCTAGCCACACGTGGCCACAGAGCACCTGAAGTGCAGTTAATGCAAATCAATGTGTCCTGTAAGTATAAGATATGCACCGGCTTTCACCAACTTAGTACAAAAATACATAAAATATATAAGTACCTTTTAACACTGATTCACAGTGAAACGATAATGTTCTTAAAATGAATTTCACCTGTTTCTTCTTCCTTTGTTACTATGACTTCTAGAGACTTAAAACGGAATATGTGGCTCACATTCGTCGCTTCTGCTATGTTTCTATGTGGGCAGCCCTGGTCTGGAGTATTTGCCCTTGGCCTCCCTCTGAGGTTGCTGGCTCTTGAGGGCAGGGAGCTGACTTGAATAGTACTTCTCCCCTCAAGTTGTCCCACCCGGACAGGCCCCCCAGGACTGGCACATGCTGATGCATAAATTGGGTTCTCAGTTCTCCGGAACGCAGAGCCTGGCCATATGGGCTCCTCTGGGTTCCTTTGGGTCCACAGAGTCTCAGAATGGCGTCTGAGAGCGATCAAGGCAGGCTTTCCATTGCAGATGAATGGGGCTTCAGGTTCAGGTCCAGGATAAGGTAAGCCAGGTAGCAAGGGCACAGAATTTAAGGAGGCACTCATTGTCAGGATGGGGCTAGAAACTTCACTTGCCACCTGCCCTGCCCCCAGCCCTGTCAGCTTCCACTACGGTTCCTCCAGAGGGACCCAGGCAGGAGCCACATCTCCACAGGGGTCCACAGCTGAACTCACCGCTGTCCCAGGGTGATCCTAACAGCCACCTTCCAGGGCAAAAACCCCACTGCCGGGCCCCACAATATGTTCCTAAAGTTCACAGACTTCATTCCCTTCCCTGTAAAACATGCATGGTAACAGCACCCACCTGTTAGGACTGTGTTAAAGGCTATGTGAGATAACATAGGTAAAATGCTTGCTAGTGTGTCTAGCACAAAACAAGTACTCAATAAACTTTAACCTCCATTTGTTACCGTGCCTGTTCTTACCATCACTGGTAAGACTGCTTAGCCTCCATGGACCCGAATATAAAAATGTAAGGAAAGGAGAATTATATTCACTAGCATTACCAAAACAGTTATCAATTATCAATGAATCCTAATCTGTAAGACAAATTTTAATGACAGAGTAGACTGGGTGTTGGAATAAAGAAATGCCACCCAACAGCAAGAAGCATGTGTGATAAAACAGAGCTTCTGCCAAATCAACGCCAAGGTAAAGGTGAAATACAGTTCACAGAGCCTCACCAGAATCAGTGCTGGCCATCAGGACCCAAAGAGGGTAAGAAAGACATATACATCAAGTGCAGAAAAGTGCTAGAGATTTTTTTTTTTTTTTAAGAGATGAGATTTTCAAGGAAAGGGAAAAGAAAACTTTCAAAACCTTTGAAGAAAATGCAACATTGGACTGAAACCATTCCAGTCTGTCCACTTTTGTTCTGTCCAGCTCAGGGCACTGTTTTTCAAAAACTGTCTATTCAAAAATTCTAGATCTTTGTGCTTTCATTTAGAAGACACCGGAAAAAAAAAGATGTATTATATACATACATATATATGTGTACGTAGAGGTACAGGTCATAAACAAATAGCATGGGCCGGAGGATCTGGACGACCACCTCATAAAGTACCCTGCCAAGAGATTCTGAGCCTGCGCTTCTCCTGAGCATGTGGACTGGCATGTGGTGGTCCATGGCACCGTCTGGCAGTCAGGGGACACTATTAAAAGCACGGAGGAGGGCTGCATATGTGAAGAATCACTTCCTCCAAGAGAAGGCCTTATGACAATGACATTTGACAAATATCACTAACCACGGTTTTGCAGCTGTGTGTATCGAGACAAGTCGTGGGAGAACTGACATCACAGGGACACCAGTAGTAAAATGACAATGACACCACCTACCGAGCACTCACCCTGTGTCTAGCACTGCTCTAAGCACTTCACATGCCTCAACTCATTAATTCTTCCTAGCATTCTTAACCCCATTTTGCAGATGAGGACATCAAGGTCAGAAAGGTTGAATAACTTGCCCAAGGTCGCGAAGCTGGTTAATGGAAGACTCCAGCGGTCTGGCTCCTGACTCCACATTCCTAACCACTAGACTGTAGTCGTGCTTCTCAGTGATCACTGTAATTCAGACCCAACCAACACAAAAGAAGCTATTCAGGGCATCAAACCTCTGTTCACAAAGCAAACTGCAATTTGGTTTCTGGAAAAGATTAAATTAATACATTTCACTTGGAATGTTATGTCTTTTGTACTTTCTGTTTAATCTCTCAATGTTTTGATTTTACAGTTGTAGGAGTTATAAACCCATGTTATTTATGCCTAATTTTAAGTTACAAATATTTAAGTAATACAATAAAAATAAGGGAACTCTTAAACATTGATGAGAATCTTTACTCTTAAGACATACCCCCTAAGAAGAGCTGGTGCTGGGGTGTCTTTGTGCATCTGTGTGCTCCCAGTGGGTGCTGGTCCTCACACCACTGCCCAGTGCTGGTCTGTACGTCCTGACCCTCTTCCCTCGAGTTCTCCCATAACGCCCAGGACAACACTTCCCACACAGGGTGGACGGTCACTGATTCAATGACCTGAAGCTGGACATTTTCCAATCACAAGACTCATGAAATATAAAAGCAAGACACATGACAAAGACACATGGCTGGCCTGTGGGAGGAGGGAGCGAACGAAGGGCTCAGATAGGTGAACGAACCCAAGTCACGCCACCCGCCCAGTGGATAGGTGGGGATTGCTCCTTTCCAGCATGTTCTATCTAAATTCTTCCGTTTGACATTTGAAAGTTCTAGCTAATGTGCTCAGTGCTCAGAAGCCACTTCAGGGGTCTACCAGACGCTGTTATGTGTGCAGCTCACTCCCAGGCATCTGATCTGATTCGCAGACAGCCATATGAGGGAGTCTCCATTTTAAGATTTATTTATTTGTCAGAGAGAGAGAGAGAGCGAGCGAGCAAGAGCACAAGCAGGGGGAGCTGCAGGCAGAGGGAGAAGCAGGCTCCCCGCTGAGCAAGGAGCCCAGTGAGGGACTTGATCCCAGGACCCTGGGATCATTACCTGAGCCGAAGGCAGAAGCTTAACGACTGAGCCACCCAGGCGTCCCGCGGGAGTCCCCATTTTAAAGATGAAGAAACAACTTCAAAGAGTCAGCAGTTTGGCAGCCGTTACTGAACTTGTAAGTGGTAGAACAGGACTTGAAACTAGATCCACTGCAAGCCAGTCCACACCAGCACCCAATCCGGTGTTATTCCTACACCAGCTGGGAACCCTGTAAAGGCCTGAACCAAGAGGGTGGGGAGCACCCAGGAGTAGATAAGAAGATCCTAAACACAGGCTGCGGGAGCATGGCTGAAGGAAGTACTTAATAAAATTTACCATTTTCTACCTATTAGAGGAGAAAATATCCAAAAGTTTGATAATACGTTCTGCTGACAAGGCTGAGAGGACAAAGGCCCATCCCTGACAGAGGGTAACCAGGCAGTATCTGTGAAAACCACACATTAATGTATCCTTTGGCTCAGCAATTCTGTTTCTGGGAATTGACTGAACAGAGTTACTTGCATAGACTTAAAAGACCACATACACAAAGTTATTTCTAAAAATGTGAACTCCAATGCCCATTAAATACAGGGCTGGTTAAATAAACTAACCAGCGATGGAAAAACAGGCAATTAAAAAAAAATAATAAAGAAGCTCTGATAGGACACTCCAAAACAAAAACTCTGATATGATCTCTTCCAAAACAAGATGTCAAACAGTGTATTTAAAATAGCTTTTGTGGGAAAGGGGGCAGGGACAAGAAAAAAAAACATTTAAAAAATCTGTATATTCATATTTGTTAGATGCATTTAGAAACGTCAGAAGAAAATCTAAGGAATTAATAACTGTGGTGACAGAGGTGTGAAAGGCTTTTCACCGTATGCATTTTAGCCTTTCTCTAACCATAAAAAGAGATCATCTATTCAAAAATTACTGTTAAAAAGCCTGGATAAAGAAGGCTCTGCTTGTGGTGAGCATGGCATAACCCAGACATGGTGAATCGCTATGTTGTACACCTGAGCCTAGTAGAACATTGTGTCTCAACTATATTCAAATTAAAAAAATTTTTTTAAAGAGAAGGCTCTGTCCAGGCTCCCTCCTCCAGTCAAGTTCTTTGTTCCATGGACTCTTCCTCCACCCACCTGTTGGCCCCTTTTGTCTGCCATATCCTCCAGTCACTGTTCAGGGTCTGTGTCCTTCCGAGGCCTTCTGGGAGGTCACAGAGGAGCACCCTTATCCGTTCTGCTTCATTGCATTGTTTGGAATTGTAAATATCACCCTGAACTGTTAGTTTCCTTCCCTCTAGAGGCAATAATATTTTACAATGTGCCTCAGAGAAATGAGGTAACTTGCGGAAGTTCACCCAGGGGCAGCACTGGATGGAGCCTGGCCCAGCTCTGAGCCCTACCTAAATCCATCCTCCTCACAGCCCCATGTGGCCTCCAGTCCCTGAGGAAGACAGCCGACGTCCCCTTTGTCTCTCTTTATGCCCTTAGAGAGGTCAGTGCTCAATGACAGGCAATCACATGCTATAGGAAGGGAGACTCGGAAGAGGAAGAGAAGGAGGCAGGCAGGAAGAGAGTGGGGGAAGAGTGGGGGAGGAGCACTCACTCTTGCAGAGACGGGTCTGAATCCTCAGCATTTGCTGTCCCCAGGTCTGAGTCGTAGGACACGGGCTCCTCAGAATGGTCTGGACTCTTGCCGCCATTCTCTTGGAGTAGGCAGCTATCAGAGCTTAGGCTGCAAGACAGCTGGGACGAACTGGCCGTGTCCAGGCTGAGGGAGGAGGCCGTGAGCTTCCTGTTCCGTCGGATCTTGGGGCCTGAGTGCTGGACTTCGATGTCCTCCGAGCCTGAGGAATGGGAACTTGAATCCGGAGACTCTCTCCGCGGTAGTTCTGTCCCGGAGGTAGTGAGGGGGTCAAGCTCAGAGAGCGGGCAAAGCCCAGAGAGAGCCAGAGGGGTAAGCGTCCACTCGCTGGACGCTTGTAGATGGCGGACTTGTAGGAGAGCTCGAAGGATAAGGATGTTAGTCCCTGCAGGAAGCTGAGGAGGAACTCCCCCTCCTCAGCATCTCGAAGCAGGGCTGTGGGCTGATAACACTCGCACAGGTGGGCCGGCTCCTGGAGGAGCAGCTTCAGGTAGCACTCCATCAGGCCGTCGTTGAGGGCCAGCCTCAGCCAGGCCCGGCAGCGGCCCACGTCCGTGCTCACAAAGATCAGGTGCTCCAATTCCGAGATGATGTGCCTGGGGATGGGGAGGACAGGCTTGTGTCAAGAAATGGCTTCCAATCACCGAAGGTCTCGTTTTATCCACTGGGTAGCAAAAGCCCATAATAACGACTGCCCATATATACAGGCTTGAAAAAATCTTGGATAATAGTGCTCTATGGGAAATTTAGAAATATTAAGCTATAACCCCCAACTTTTTGAGGTTGCTGTCATAAAGGATAACCACCATTTTCATTACAACTACCTGGGGGACCCCTGACATCATGTGCTCATCCAGCACACATCTGATGAGCCCCTACGTGCAAGTCTTTGGAGCTGTGAAGATACAGGGTAAAGACATGGTCCTGCCCTCAATCCAGGTAACCACCTTTCACAGGCACACTGAGGTGAACCCTGTTGTCAGCAGAGCTGGGGTGGGAGTGGGCAATCATTTCCGGGTCACAGTAAGAAAAATGCCATAGAAAAGGCAGTATCTGGGTTGGGCCGCAAGGGATCTCAAGAGGCAAAAACGGAAGGAGAACCTTCTAGGCACAAAGGACTGACAGAAAAAAGGCACCAAGGGTAGGAAAGCAACAGCTCTGTAACAGGAGTGGCGAGCACATTCCGATTAGAAGCTGGGGAGGAGGAGTGGGTGACTGGGTTGCAAAGTCAGGTAATGCAGGGTCTTGAGGATGCAACTGGTAAGGCAAAGCGGGGCAGTGGTCCCCACGCCTGGCTATGCATCAGAATCACCTGGGAACTTGGTCAGGATGCAGATTCTGGGGCCCCCGCCTAGTGAATCAGACTCCAGGCTAGCATTTGAGAGCCTGCGGGTTTTTACACAGCAAACTGACTTGACCACACTTATGCAGGCGTCTTGGTGGGCCGCTCTGGATAAGATCATATCCCACACGTACCAAACTGAGTTCCTGAATCCTTGATCTGATGCAAATGCCCCTCTTCTGACTACCATGGTGCCCTGCGCACGTCTCGCCCGTGGGAGTGCAGACCAAGCTCCGCGGGGCTCCGTTAGCGAGCTCTGGTTAGCTTCAGCTCCGTCAGGGCTGCCCCGCTGGCTGGGCTCAAGAGAGAGAATGAGCTAAGGAGGACCATGAGAAAGCCACTGTCACCCAGGAGTGGGGTAAGAGCCTGAGACGGGGCAGCGGCCGGCAGCAGGAAGACAGAGACCGGCCAGGCACCTCAGGCCGAAGGTGGCATCACGTGGCCCTTCGAGGCCCAGGGCCAGCTGCTTGCTCCACAGCCCAGGCGGTCAGCGGTAGGGCCCCGGAGACAACCATCCCAGGCTGAATAGTCAGATGATCTGGGCTCCACTTTTTTTGAAGAATGCCATCCCTGGTTACGAGTATAATATTTAGCAACACAGATGTTCAACCATTCTAAGGCAGGGTCGGCCAACTTCTTTTGTAAAAGGCCACATAGCAAAGCTCATCGGCTTTGCAGGCCGCACACTCTCGGGTGCGACCACCTCAGTTTGCCACGGTGTGGTAACGGTGGCCCGGCTACCGGCGACCAGCCGGGCGCGTGCAGCAGCCCCCAGCCATTGCCTGAGGGCTGAGGGGCTCTTGAGGCTTGGTCTAACAAGAAGCCCTACCTCACCCATCTCTGTTCTAGAACAGAGTGTCTCTGGTGCTTTCCCGTACAGCTGGCGAGGCAGAGCCCCGTGTCCCCCACTCTGAAGCTCCTCCCCACAACAAAACCTCCCCAGCTGATCTCACTTGTGGGTGACGGCTTTCAGGAGGGGCCAGAAGACAGGCTGAGGAAGAGGCTTCTGGTGGGCGCTTTTCTTCCTTTTCCCTCCGGCCTCGGCGCGGATGTGCTTGGCGTGCAGGCCGTGGATAAAGACAGCCTCTAGCTGGCATCTCCGTCTTCACTAGTGACCACCATGTCCGAGGACACGTACTGCTTCTGCAATGCCTTCACGGATCCCACTGGCTTCTTCTTGATGACCTAGTCAGCGCCAGACATAACACAGCCTTTAGGAGATCCTGCAACGTACCTGCTCATTGCCACGTACACAAGCAACCACACACGTGCACCCATGTGTGTGTCTATCTAGCAAAACTCACACAAGCGAATTACAGAAAACAAAGACAAAGCCTAGAGAAGAAAAGGAAAATCACATACTTACACCACCCAGGGGAACTGATATTTTTTTTTTTTGCAAAGACATTTGTATATTTTTGTTTTGTTTTGTTTTTTAAGCTGAACCTCAAACGAAAGCAACAGCAGCAACAAAAGAAACTGAACTTCAGTGAATTGATAGCCATATAAATCTTGTGTTTAAATACCGGCTCCATCACAGTTACAGCTTTGGGGGCTCGGGGAACCCACCTAGGACAGCGGGGAAGCGGTCTACCTTATTCATGGGACTACGATCCCACCAAGAGGCAACAAGTGCTGCTTTAGAACAAGAAAACAGGAGCAAGGTCTACACTGAGAAAGATCCTACACTGGGCAGTCAGAGGCCCAGGTTAGTGTTAGCTCTGTCGGCCACCAGCTGGGTCACCGAAGACATTTCACTTAACCTTGCTGATCTTAATGCCCTCATCTGTTAAACAGAAAGCGTACTTCCTGAACTATAGCACTGCGGGGATTACCCCGAGGGCAGGACTGGTCTTTTATTCATCCTTGGGTCCTCGACACTTGGCATGGTGCCTGGCACATATACGTACTCAGTTAATGTTGGTTCTGTAAGTAAATTATAAAATACATACACATAGAGTCCTTTGGAAATGTAAGGACAGTTCCGTCATACTAGAAGCGTGTCAAAATTACCTAAGTGTTTGGAAAAAGACTAGAAGGAAATGCAGAAAAACTGGTTTGAATTGTTAGCTGATAGGATTACGGATAAATATTTTACTGTTTTATTTTTATTTTAGCCCAAACAGTTCATGTTAATGTTCTCTTAAGTCTAATGTTTTTTTTTTTTTTATAACAGCTTTAATGAGACCTAATTTACATAGCATAAAATTCACTCATTTAAAGTATACAGTCCAATGGTTTTGGGTATATTCACAGAATTGTGAAACTATAACCACTACCTCATTTCAGAACATGTTCATTGCCTCAGAAAGAAACATCGTGCCCATAAGCAGTCACTCCCTATTCGCCTCTCCCCCAATCCCTGGCAACCGCTCATCTACTTTCCGCCTTGATGGATTTACCAATTCTCGACATTGTGTAGACATGGAGGCATACAGGGTGCAGCCTTCTGTGTCTGGCTTCTTGCACTGGGCCTATTCCCAAGGTCTGTCTATGCTGTCGCCGTGTATCGGGACTTCCTTTTTACTGCCCCATAATATTCCACTGTGTGGACAACCCCACATTTTATTTATCCATTCACCCATTACTAGACATTTGGGTTGTTCCCACTTTTTGGCTATAATGCTGCTATGAACATTCATGCACATGTGTTTTCAGTTCTCCTGGGTATATACCTAGGGGTGGAACTGCTGGGTCATGTGTAACTCTGGGTTTAACTTCTTGAGGAACTGCCAAACTGTTTTCCACGACAGCTGCACCATTTGACATTCCCACCAGCAATGCACGAGGGTTCGAATTTCTCTACAAGGCCACCACTTACTCTGATGTCATTCTGATTCTAGCCATCCCAGAGGTGTGAAGAAGCCTCTCGTGGTTTTGAATGCATTTGCCTAATGTCTGATGATGTTAGGCATCTCTTCATGTGCTTATGGGTCATATGCATGCCTTCTTTGGAGAAATCCTTGGTCCTCAGGTAGCCTATATTAAATCACCATCATTTTCTATAAATTCCCATTAATCACCGATAAGATGTTCTGGAAAGGGCAGGATCTCCTTAGAGCCTGCTCTGCTATAACTTTTTCTCAACCCGAGGCCTCACTTTCCGGACAGTCCTCGTTCATTTCAAAGCAAGAAAAATCAATGAAATGGCTGTCCTGTGCACCCTTCCCCACCCTTCAGCCTCCCTTGCTGCCTACCGGGATGGCAGCCCAGGGGTCCAGTCCATTCTCCACCACTGAGAGCATTTCCACTCACAAAGCAGCACCCTCGGAGAATCACATGACACCTGCAGAGACAGATGGTGGCCAGATGAGCAAGTTCCAGCTCAGCGCCCCCAGCCAATTCTCTCCCCTCCCCCCCCCGTAGGCAGCAGGTCAGCCCATCTTCCTCAAACTGCAATGGAAGGGCGTTTGAATACAAAAGTAAAAGCTAAGAGTGGATTTTAAGGAAGGAAGCGAGGAAGGAAAGCAAATCTGAGGGCTTGGATCTCAGGAGGTGAGGAGTCCTGTGCGCCATGGGTGGGTCCAGCCCAAGCAGTGCTTGGAAAGGGCTCTGGATTCCACACCCAGTGCGGGCACAAAAAGCAGGGTGCGCAAGGCTGATTTAGACATGGAGCTAAGGGTGCAAGGGGGATGCTGCAGCTGAAGGTGCCAAGGGCCCATATGGACCAGGAAGCAGGGGTTCACAATTCACATTCGGGGCCTGGGCCCTGCAACTATCCCCTCTGACTCCTGTCCCAGTCTGGTGTCTGCCAGCTCAGCAGTGACAGGGATAACTGCAACAGCTTCCAAAGGGAGGGCTCTCTGGCCACACATCTGCTCCTCCTTCAGGCGCGAGGGTCTAAGCTGGAGCAGCACAGGGACACGTCTAAAGGGAAACGGGTCTGACTCTCGATTTGCCACTAACCAGCTACGCATGCTGGGGCACCTTATCATACCTCTCAGATGGAGATATGAATGTGGAAAATGCCTAGCACAGGGCCTGAAGGTCCTAAGGAGAAATGGCACCTACAACCCTAGTGTTTGTGGCCATCCAAACCTATAGGCAAAGATTGCCAGGGCATGAATGTGCACGCACAAGTAGCTGAAGTGACTCCCTCAGGGCACTGGCTTCCTCCTGGGGGGTGGTTGAGGTGGGAGGGCTTCAACCTGAGCCTGAGGAGTGGGGGGGCTGCTGGCTGGCCTGGCCCCACCCCAGCCACCTGGATGGACAGCATGGGGCAGGCACCTTCCCATCTAAACAGATTTCTAGTGACCACATAGCCTGAGCAGGAGGAGACACCAAAAAACAGGTCATTGTCCAAAGAAGTTAATAAAGCCAAGGCATGCTAAATGGATTTTGTACTCTTTACATATATTGCTTCTTGCATTCCTCCTAGTCACCCTAGGAGGGCTGTTTTATTATCCTGATCTAACAGATAAGAAATAGAAGCTGACCCAGGTCAAGGACCTTCCCACGATTGCAGGGCTGATAGTGGCAGACTCCACCACCTCCCTCTAGGACGATGTCAACCCTTCTGGAAGAGGCGAATGTGAGCTAGGGCTAAGGGATGGGTAGCGAGGGAGTGGGGGGGTCTGGGAGGAGGGCTCTCCAGCTGGGGGCCCAGGTGAGGGGGTGCAAGGGAACATCAAGGTCAGTCTGCTGGGAAAGATTTACAGAGAACAGCAGAGCATGGAGAACAGCAGGGTGGCCCTAAGTGATGTTAGATGCTCTGACTCAAGCCCTGGCCCCTGGAGCTGGCCAAGGGTAAACAGGACCCAGAGCCAACCTTCCTAAGGAAGGGCATGCAGAGGGAGGTAGGTGTGTGTGGGGAACGGCCCCTGCAGCACCAGCTCTGGTCAGCCCATGACAGACTGGCAGGAAGAGCGCGCCGGCCCCTGGCCACAGCCCCTGTCTGTCTGACTGAGTCTCCCTCACCATGTTCCTGGCTCCTACCCGCCGGGAGTTCTCAGGACCCTCCTCTGCAGACCAGCTCCATGCTCTGGCCACCAGGACGACTGGAAAAGGCTGCAGTCAGAGTCCCTCCTAAAATTGTGCCTGATCCTGGAGGTGAGGTTCCTTCGAGGTTACCCTTTACAGCCCTGCAGGTCAAGTCCAGGTTCTCTGGCTCCAAGACCCTGGCATCCAATCCCTTTCAGCAATTCCAGAGGCCTAAGGCCTCCCTTCAGTCCTGTCCTTCCCAACAGAGCCTCAAGCTCCAAAACTGCCCTTCCCTCAGGCAGCCTTATGACTTGGACCTCAACAGTTTGAATAGTAGGTCCATTAAGGCCTCATTAATTAATTAACCAAAAATAATAGAGTATTCACGGAGGGAGGGAGGGAGGCTTATCAGTGAGTGGGTGCTCTGGCCAAGTCAGGGTCTGCTAAAAAAACAAAGTCAACGGACACTGAGAGATCAGAGCAGGGGCAGATAGGAGACAACTGTGGTCTAAAACAAAGTGAAGAGTCAGAAAAGCCACAAAATGACAACAGCGCAGGCAAATCCAGAAGAGCCACTTGACGATTCACAAAATAGGATGAGACTCTGGGGTCAGGCCAAAGTTAAGGGCACATCTTTCTTTGCAAGAAGCCAGAGCACCCTACCGAGGCTTGTCTGTTCCCTAACACCTCAGGGAGGCAAGAAACCAGCTCAGAGGCAGGAACGTGACAGTCTATGAGATCTCTGGGGTCTGGGTCTCCTGACTGCTAGGTCAGCAGGGCTCCTGGGGGGCCCAGACCCCCAATCTACCGTCCTATGGGACTGGCTTCACTTCCTATCCTCAGAACAGTCTTCACTGACACCAAGAACCAAACCAAAGACGGGTGTCTCTTCGGGACACCCAGGCTGACGAGAGCAAATAGAGAGTTTCAAACATCACAAGTGCAGTTGAGCAGAAAAGGTGAGTGGCGTCTGCCTTTAGGAAACTCCAACCCATCCTAAGTCTACTTCTGTCCCTCAGTATTGATTCACCCTGGCACAGGATCTCATTCTCTAATCTCATTTAATTCTTAAAACAATCCTGTGAAAGGAGGATGATTATCTCCCATTTCATAGAGGAGAAAACTGAGGTTCAGTCGAAACAGGTCTCAGGTAAAGGACAGAATTCTTTGGTTTCCTCATTCCAAGTCCTGTGCCTTTCACCAGATCAAACTGTCTCAGCTCCTTGGTGCAAAGAGCTGCAGGCAAACTTATTACTCAGAGACCGTTTAGGGGCACTCCGAAGCTCCATTTTATTAAAGAAGGCCTAAAACCAACAAGAAACAATCTTGCCCATCAGATCTGTAGCATAACAAAGGGGCAGGCCCACACACTCAGGTGCCCCATCTCCAACAGCTGGTTTTATAAATGGAAACAGGCACTGGGACCCCGATCTTCCCAGAAAGGCCAGTGGAGCCCCTGGCCCAGATCAGTGGAGCTTGCTTCCAAGAACTGTCCTGTTCCCAGGCCAGCCCTGTAGATACTCCCAAAGTACCCCCGGAGCACAGATTCTTTCCATGGTAGCTAGGTTTCAGAACTATCCTTTCTTAAATGTTCCTACACACAGGAAGGAAACATTCTGGTTGATTTTCTTTATTATATGCCCTTCTATATACTTCCAATTTCACTTCCTCCAGAGACTAAGGAAGAATGAAAAGAGGAGAAAGGCCCAGGTGAGACTTACATTAAAAGAAGAAACGGATGACCTGGCTTCACCGCTTTCGAAACACTCCATTCATCAGTCAACAGCAACCTCCTCTTCTTGGAGACTTCCCCGCCATCCCTGACAGCCTCAGTCTCCACAGCCTGAATCCGATCCTGCACCTGGCTATGCAGAACAACAGGCCGGTGTTTAAGCCCTCCAGCTGCTGTACCAGGTGATGAGTCAGGGTTTTCAGTTGGAAACAAATGACAAAGTTATCTTCTGATTCAGAAAGGCAGCTGATCCTTCAGACATGTGAGTGCTGAGTGAGTAAACAGCACCTCCTTCCACCTGAAGAAAGTTGGAGTTCTGGACAAGGGTCCCGTGAGGGGTGGGATGGGTGTGTGTGTGTGTATGGGGGTGAAAGCAACTAGGCCTTTGAAGCAACTGAATCCCAGCTGGAGGGCAAGAAACTTCTAGCTTGTGATTCTCAGTCTAAAGGCTAGTGGGTGAGGCCAGAAATGTGAAGTCTATGAACAGTGGGTATCTTTCTTTACTCCCTCCCTCCTCCTACCCAACAACACCCATCTCCCCCACATTCTTTTTTTTTTTTTCAAGATTTATTTATTTTTGAGAGAGAGAGAATGCACATGAGTGGGAGGAGGGGCAGGGGGGGAGAGAGAGAATCTTAAGCAGGCTCCATGGCCAGCATGGAGCCCAATGCGGGGCTCGATCTCACAATCCATGAGATCATGTCCTGAGCTGAAACCAAGAGTCTGACACTCAGCCGACTGAGCTACCCAGGCGCCCTGCATATCCCCCATATTCTTTTTTTTTTTTTTTTAATATTTTTATTTATTTATTTGACAGAGAGAAAGACAGGGAGAGAGGGAGCACAAGCAGGGGGAGCGGGAGAGGGAGAAGCAGGCTTCCCATTGAGCAGGGAGCCTGATGTGGGGCTCGAACCCAGGACGCTGGGATCATGACCTGAGCTGAAGGCAGACGCTTAAGGACTGAGCCACCCAGGCACCCTCTCCCCCATATTCTTGTCCCACATCCCTTAGGATTCCAGCAAGGACCAAACTCTGAAGGAATGAAAGCAGAAACTTTGCCCAACTCATTCACCATTGCATTTCTAGTGCCTAGAACACTTCATGGCACACAGTGGTGCTCAAAATATACTTGCTGAATGAACAGGTGAGTAAAATAAAAAGGCTCAGGGAGAAGTTGAGGTTTACAACTTTTCAGTGGTAGGGCCACTGTGGAATTCCTTCCATTACACCAAGCTGCCAACTGGCTGAAAACCCTTTAGATAGATCACACCTTAGCTGGGGGGGTGGGTAGGGGGATATTGAAGGTAGAAGAGCATTCAATTTTCAAAGAAGTGAGACTATAAATGGCAAGCAAAGACAAGGGGTCCTCTTTGGGGCCCTTTACAATTGCTGTGAAATGGCCAATCCTTTGGAGCCTGGTCACCAGAACTAAGAGGGGATGTGCACCCAAAAAGCCCAGGAGATTATAAATATTAACAATGGGGCCTGGATGCCTCAAGAAGGTCTAGCTACTCTGAGGTAACTTGGCTCTCTGAGTTCATGGGTCATCAAAATGGTCAAAACTCAATGATCCAGTACCTGCAAAAAGAGGAAGCAATTCAACAGCCTCTGAATCCACCTAGGCCTCAGCCTCCCCAGGACCACTCACCTATACTCTTCACAACATGTAACATCACCTCTGGTACTGTGTTTCCCTGTGTTCGGTATTGGGACTAATCTGCAATCAGCTCTGGCTGGGGGAAGCACTGGGTGAGGGTCCTTTCTAAGTGCCAGGACAACACTTTTGGACATGGCTCTGTGACCACAGCCAACCCCACAGGGTAGGACCCTCTGAGTTTCTACAGATTACCATCCAAAAGGAAGTGATAAGTTTCCACTGTCCCAGGCTCAATGAGTAGCCATCCCTCACCTTCCAGGTATTTATTTGGATGGTACCTACCATTCCAGCAGACAGCACAAGTAATGTAATATGAATGCTAGAAACGGGGGACAACAGGTACAGGGGGACCAGACATCCAGGAAAAACCCTTGAACCACAGGAGGTGGAGCTCTACTCCTCCACACCTATTTACCATCTGAGGCCCTGTACCCATCGAGCTGCTCAGCAAGTGCCTGGCTCTGAGGAAGCACCTTGACTTGGCTGTTGAGGGGAAGCAGGTGGGGTTGGCAGGGGGCTGCACTAAGTTCTCAGATCAAATGGGGACCACGTCAAGGGAAGAATGGGTGCCGAGTTGGGGTGAAGAAATGGGGACATGGAGACCTCATTTTAATAAGACTGGGGAGGGGTGGTAGGAAGTGGGGCAGCAAGAGTTGGGGGCAGTTTCGCAAAGACTTAGGGATGAAGTGTCCTCGGGACGGCTGGAGGTGATAAGAAATTATGTGGTGGGCTCGGAAGTTAGGGGTTGAGTCTGTGAGGACAAGAAGATACATGTAATAAGACTTAGGATAGGGCTGAGATCAGAGTTAGTAAGAAGAGGGCGTGAGCTCAACAGAGCGTCTGCTTTGGTGGTAGGTATTAAATGAGGCTGGGTGGAGGTGGGGTGTTACGGCTGAGCAGACCTTGGGGGCTGGGGGGCTGGGATAAGAAAGGTGAGCCAGAATAGGGGAAAGCCAGAATGGTGGGGATCAGAGGAGGCTGGCGTGGGACACTGGAGTTGCCAAAGGGGTTGAGGGGTGAGGAGGAGATGCGTTAGAGGGACGCCGCGGGATGTGGCTGCGCTGGGGGATGGAACTGGGCTACCGTGGGGTCGAAAGTGTGGCTGCATTTACGCAGCACCAGTGGTGAGGGGGTGGGGGGTAGGGGCTTGGCTCGGGTCCCGGGCGGGAGAAGATGGAGGGGACGGGTCAGCAGTGGCTGCGCGGGCTGAAGGCTCGGGTCCGAGTGGGGTGGGGTGCGGGGCTTAGGCGGGGAAGGGAAAGGGCTCTAAAGCAGGACAGTGTCAAGGCAACCAGGGGTTTGGGAGCATGGACAGGGCTGGTGGCCCAGCGCCCGTTCGCGTCTCGGCCCCGCCGCCCCTTCTCGCCCTCCTCGCCCCCGACCCCTAACTCACCAGAGGGAGCGGGGACGGGGTGAGGGGCGCTCGTGGCCGCTGCAGCCTCTCAACCTCCGACCCGAAGCGGCGGCCTCTCCCCCACTGACAACAGGAAACGGCGCTCGCGGCGCCTGACGCCATCACGTCGTTCAGCGCCCGGCCCCGCCCCCGGCCCCCGAAGCCAATCGCAGGGCTGGAGGAGCCGTGGGGCGGGGCCAGCGCTTCCGCACGCCCAAATTGCCAAACCCCGAGCAGGTGAGTGATCTGGGAGGCTCCCGACTCTACACGCCCCCCCCCACCCCCGCCCGAGGTGCGCGCGAACAGGTGAGGTCACTAGGCGAGGCCACCAGCGTCGGGCGGAACGTGTCCTCCTGTCCGCCTCTAGCAGTGTCTGTGTCAGACTAGATGCTGGCTTTTGGGTTCATGACCTCGCCGGGCCACAGCACCGCCTGTGTAACATTGGGACTGTCTCTTGGCCTCCTGCGGGGAAGGCTCCCACTTGTAAAATCAGACCAATAGCCTACCCTGTTTTTGCCTCCCTGAGGGCATCAGCGCAGGTGGTGCTTCCCGCCTTGCGGCTCTGGGGAAGAAGCATACGTGTTTTGACCACACCTTATACCAGGGGAGCGCCTTTAGGTCCCTTGGGCTTTCTCGCGTAACCTGCCCATCAGCCCGGAGGCGCGAAGATCAAGGGCCCGGTTATTCTCATCCAGCCAGGTAGTTGTTTGTTTGCTTTCCTTGGTAGAGTTGCTATTTCTCTTTCAGATGAACTGAGAACAAAAGGTCAAAAGTGTGTTTTGGGGGGGATGTCTTTGCTTCCGATATTTCACACCTGAAGACTTTGGTCAAATGGGAGCTTAGGGCCTGAGTGTGGGGTGAGTGCTGGGGTGGAGAGGTATTGCTACCTGCAGGTCCAGGGGAACTTAGGGAGTATCTACAGGGCTGGCCTAGAAACAGGACAGTTCTTGGAAGCAAGCTCCACTGATCTGGGTCAGGGGCTTCACTGGCCTTTCTGGGAAGGTCCAGGTCCCAGTGCCTGTTTCCATTTATAAAACCAGCTGTTGGAGATGTGGCACTTGAGCGCATGGGGGCTGCCCCTTCAGTAATTCTCTCTCCAGGAGAGAGAACCACCTCTTCCTGGTTTTAGACTAGATGAGCCTGAATGCATTCAGTATCGTTAATCATTGAGGAGGAAGTTAGAAATAAAGACATAGAGGCAAAGTATTCTCTTGGTGTTAAACAAGGTGGAAAGTAAGGGATTTACTAGGGAAATCCCGTTTCCTAGGCAAAAGGATAGTGTTTCTCGTTATCGTTAGCACAGCAAGAGCATCAGTGTCTTGATACAAGCATGCCCTCCCCTAAATGGAGCAAGCAACAGTCCTGTTCTTCCAATGAATTTTTGCACAGCCGCTGTCTGCAAAAACCGTGGGAACCCCCACATAGTAATCTCTTGTCTGCCTTTTCAGGAGCCCCCATCTCATGATCTTCTCTTACTTCCCATGCCTCTTGGCCCCTCTGCAAAGTCTATGGGCTTGTCTTCCTCTCTTCATCTTGCTCTGGTGTACACTTCCACCATTCATGGGCCGTGAGTCCACCAGGTAGTCTCCAGGCAGAAAAAAATCGCACACTACCATGTCATTTGAACAGTAATAAAGGCACATGCAAAGTGCCATGGTGCCAGAGAAGAGGGCTTGAAGGTTATCCTGGAGGAGGCAACTTGTATCTGAGCCTTCCAGGTGGATAGAGGACAGAGCATTGCAGGTGAAGAGACTGAAGAGAAATGGCTGGTGAGTAGGAATGCAGGCTGAGCTCAGGTTCAGATAGGAGGGGTGATAAAGACAGATTGGGTGAGGGGGAAAGGGAGGATGCATGGACACAGTTGGAGGCCAGTGCGGGAAGGGGTGAAACATTCCCAAAGGCCCCTTACAGGCCACTGGTCTGTCAGCTTAGATTTCAAGCACTATGCAGAATTATGCAAAAAGTCAGGTAGGAGAACTGAGGGTGTCTGAATTCCCTGGGGACAGGTCCAACGTGTAGATTCCTGAACCCCACCCCTACCCTGGAGAGTCCCTCTGGGATGGGGTCCAAGAATTTCGGCTTGACCACCTCTCCTGTGCCCAGCCCTCACCGCCAATGGATTGTGATTTGTCCTTATCAACCACTGGGAAGGTAGGTTGCCATTGTTATCTCCAAAGCACAGATAAGAAAAGAGGCTTAAGAGAGAAGTTGAGTAACTTGGCCACACAACTAATAAATGGTAGAGGGAGGACTCTCACCCAGCTCTAATTCTAGTTGGAGGGCTGGCATAGTTCGGTGGTGGAGCAAGTGGGGTTTGGAGCCAGGAATCCTTAGGCGCCCCTGGATGAATAAAATCTTAAAAAGAAAAAGAAAAGATGACTGGCTATATTATTATAGTTTGGGCTAATTCTCCCTTCCCAATCCAGTCAGATCTCTGTTTTTAACTTCTCTCTGAGACTGGAGTGAGGGCCTTTCTTTTTTCTTTTCTTTTCTTTTTTTTTCTTTTTTTGAGAGCCTTTCTTGTTTCAACCCCAGATGTATCCCTACTTGGCAGCTGACTGAAATCATCCAACTAGTACGAATGCAGCCCTTTCTCTCAAAACTGGAATCGCTAATGTTCTCCTGGATTCTGTTATAGGAATGTTGGTTCTCCCCTCTCTTTTTAAAAATGGATTTAAAGGGTTTTTAATTATTGATTTGTCAATGACACCTCAATAAAGCTGGACAAAAATAAAGCTTTGACAAAATAATGCATTTTTAAAAACCCCCGAATGTTGTTATACACATAGTTTACAGTTTAAATAGTATGAAATGAAATGGTGAGGAAACCTAATGACCCACAGCATTTTCTTGCCGCCCCCCCCCCCCCCATCCCCACCCTCCTGAGCCAGCTTACTGGGGCTGGTTACTTCTAGCTGAATCTTCTGGTGCTTATCTGCACCTATCTTGCGCTTCTAGCTCTTGATTTATCCATTTTAGACACTGTCTACCGACTTCCTAATACCACAGACAAGGAGTTAGTTCTTTAACAACCCAGTCCATTCTTGGGGTTTAGTTATGTCACTCTTTCAAGATAACTGATAGTGTTTACAGAATTGTGACTGTGTAAATATTGTTCACTGCCGAGCTTCCTCATGTACTCTGATTATGATCGTTTCCGTCCCTGACCTCCAGAACGTCTCCGTTCTTCTCCTCCTTCTGTGCTACTTGCCATTAGCACTCCTCTGGTCCCCTCCAGTGCTCTGGCTGGTACTTAGCCTTCCCGTGCCCTCCAGCTACCTCCTCCACCTGTCCCACAGCTGCTACCCTGGAACCTTCCCTCACTGCTTCCTGGGTTGGCCTTTTCCTGGCTCCCTTCTCTTCCTGCTTTCTTGACTCTCCCTCTCTGCTGGAGCTCATCGCAGTTAAGAATCCCTATCGAATATTAAAGAACAGAATGGTCTGGGGACCTGCTCATGATAGTAATTATACCTTTAGTAGCTACGAATTGGGAAAAAAAATACACAAGGCCCCCAAATTATCATGAAGGCACTCCTGCTCCTAAGTGAGTTTGTGTTTTACTTATCCAGAATAGCATCTATGAATGTGTGAAAGCCTGTTCCAAGTTTAGGCTTAAGGGTTTGTTCAATCTAGCTTCAGTCTCTCATCCTCCATTTGCCACCTCGCCTCCTTATCTTGCGGTAAGACAACCTCCCTCTTAACTTTCAACCCAGTCCCTGTGCTTTAACCGAACTTAAGTACTGGCTGAAGGCCTGACCTCGCGTGTGCACGTGACCACGGCTGGCCAATCAGAAATCTCCTCTTCCCAGAGGTAGCGTGCAAGCAGACCAACCAGAGGCATTTTGAGGATGGGTTTTCCTCTACATCGGTGTAGAGCTGGAATTACTAATGACCATCTTTGCAGCCTTGGGGCTTGCATCCTTCAGAGCCTGAAGCCAGAGGAAAGCACAGTTGAGGAACAGATGGGGAAAGGATGACGCTGTTTGAGCCCTAGATGCAGCCAGCTTTAAGCACTTAGGCTTCCCGGGTATATGAGCTGATCCACTGTATGACATTTTTGGTTCAAGCATATTTTAGTTGGATTTCTTTCACTTGGAGCATAAAGAACAGCGACTGATATATTTGTCTTTGTGAACTTGGTCAAGTTATACAAGCAGTGTATATATTCATGTATCCTGACCAACAGCTTACAGCAACACTAGGTTCCCTATCCCTCTGCTTTTGTCAGCCCGAGCCTGAGATAGCTTGACATTGAATAGTCCCATTTAGGAACTGGAGGAAGCAACTTAGCATGAGTCACTGGCCTAAAATATACTTTCCACCCACATGCCCCGTGCCTGGAATTCGATGGTGACGGTGGCATTCTCTAGGGTTAATCCTGGCCCTCTTCAAGTGGTACTCCTTTGGAGTGCAAAGTATGTGGGGAAAAGCAGCAATTAAGGTAGAGCATCTGGGGCCGGTTCTGCTTTTGCCCTGAAAGCTGGCAAAAGAGACGATGACAGGGGCCGGAGGCCTTGTGGAGCCTTGGGGGCTCTGATGGTGAATCTCACTGTTCTTCAAATTGTCCGAAGTCCATGCAGATCCCTGACTAGGGCCGTGCCTTTAGACAGCCTCGCTCTTAGGACATTTCAGGCAATGAGAATCTAGTTTCAAAAGGCCTCAAGAGAAAGAAATTTCACTACTTTTTTTTTAAGATTTATTTATTTGGGCAGGGGACGGGCAGAGGGAGAGAGAGAATCCTCAAGCAGACTCCCCGCTGAGTGTGGAGCCCCACACAGGCTGATCCCAGGACCTTGAGATCATGACCTCAGCCAAAACCAAGAGTGGGTCGCGGAACCAGCTGAGCCACCCAGGTGCCCCTCACTACCCTGGTTTGATGTTTAACTTGTAGAAGCCCTTTCTTGTGGAGGTTCCTATGGGAAGCAGTGGATACAGGATTCAGTGTAGACAGATCTAGGTACAAATCCCAGCTCCTAATGGCATAGTCCCTTTGCAGCTCCTGGGGCAAACTCAGCACTATGTGCTGACCTTTAGGAGGTCAGTCTGTATTTCAAAAGGAAATCATATGTGGAGAATGAAGAAATGGTTTAAAATCCACCCAGTAAGATTCCTGAGTCATCGCTGCGGGCAGGGCCTGGTACTAGGTATTGGGGAGAGGAAGGAGATGTGATTCTTGCCTTGTCAGGGTTCCTGCCCTAACAGAGAACTGCGGTGGGGCTTTCACATTGATGGACTATCTTTCCCTCTGCTCCATTTACAGGGGACACCTAAAAGAGAGGGGCCTTGTACATAACCTCTAAACCAGGGCTCGGTCCCATCCCAGGATAGAGAGGATTATTGGCTCTCCCTACAGCCACACTCTTGCTTTGTCTCCCTGTGGGCAGAGTGTACTTCCTGTCCCCTGGACAGGAAGGGGCTTGACCATGTGACTTGCTTTGGCCCATGGAATGGGCAGAAATGAAAGTGTGATCGTTCTGTGTCTGGGCTTGAAGAGGTCCAATGAAGTTTCTGCTTCGCCTCTTATTATGCTTCCTTCCGGTAGCCTCTTCAGCTGGGGCCCCAGAACCAACACAGGTGGAAAAGAGCTAGCCCCGCCGATCTGCAGACCAGCAGTGAGAAGCAGCACTGACCCAGCCGGCAGAGCATTCGAGTACAGCTGTACCGGCCATCCTGCGAGAATCGGTGTTCCAGTCCGCTGAGTTTGGGGATGGTTTATCAGTTAGCATTGTTGTAGCGAAGGATAACCAGTGCTCACTCCTTCATTAGGCTATAGGTTCAGTCGCAGTAGAGACCCAACACAACAGTGTGGTAGATAAATAAGCAGCTCCTTGATCTCTGATATAATCATCTGGTTAAGGACTGTAGTCCAGGGCTGGTTTGGTGGTTCGCATGTCAGGGAGCCAGGCGCCTTCTATTTGACGGCTCCACCATTCTGGGGTGTCGCCCTCATCCACGTGAGGTCTTTATGCTGTTCACAGGTTGAGGTCTTCATTTCCCTTGGCCCTGCAAGCTGGAACCCTCCACAGCGGGCGCCGAACCTTCTCCAACACTAGCCTTGAACACACAAAGCTCCGCCTTGAAGCCCCATTCCCACTTCTGCTTCAGGCCTCCAGGACTTTAACTCTTGAAGGAGTGTGCTCCCCTCCCCATCCCCCAGGTCTCAACAACATCTCCTCCCCACTAGGACCTCAGGAGCCAGAGCTGGTCGTGCCTGGCGCTCCCCAGGACTGAGAGGCCCTGACTTCCATGGGGGCGGCTGGCTGCCAGCCGGCGTGAGCCTTCGGGACTCCAAGGGTAAGAATCCAGTGGTGCCTTCTGGTCCTCTTCAGTCGGCTCTGCCCTGCCTCTCTCATGTATGAGAAAAAAATAAAAATAAAATTTTTAAATAAGGTGATCATGGGGCGCCTGGGTGGCTCAGTCGGTTAAACATCTGACTCTTGATTTCGACTCAGGTTGTGATCTCAGGGTCATGAGACTGAGCCCAATATGGGGCCCTGCACTCAGCGCTCAGCGTGTAGTCTGCTTGAGATTCTCTCTCTCCCTCTGCCTCTGCCCCTCCCGCTGCTCACGTGCACACGCTCTCTCAAAATAGGCAAAATCTTAAAAAAAAAAAAGGTGCTCATGTAGCACAAACTTATACAAGTAGAAAAATAGATCATTTTTCTTTAAGACATCAAAAATCTACTATGTGATACTACTTAAAAGTCTTTGGTCTTACTTCAGGCTCTACAAAGCGAAGGTTCTTGTGTTAGAACAAACCGTCCCACTTTCATGGCTTGTCATTTTGTCCTTCTTTTCAATACCATCACATACTACATAATCCTTTTTATTCAGTACAACTGAAACTAATGATATTAATCAAAACAGTAGATTGCAAAGGGGAATCTACAAAAAAAAAATTACACCTTAAACATTTTCTTTGAACTTCAAACCTATAAATGTATACTCTGTTGCCAGTCTTCTGACGCAGGCCTTTTGAGTTGTAGATCCACTGACTATAGTTCCAGTCTCACACAAACCACACCCATAATGCATCGTCCACAATTTCTAGTTTCAATTGCTTTAAAAGTGAAGCGAGACTTAAAAATACTTGCCAAGGATCTAAATGAAGAATTCTTCCAGATTACAAAAAAACAGAAATTTGTAAACATCTATAGGTATCTCCTTATTGGCTCACCTTATAGTCTTTCCAAGGCAGTTAACTTAGTTTTCACAGAATCAACAATTCTTATATTTTAGTTATTTTTCTTTGGCTTACAAAATTTTATATTAAATTATATAATTATATTACAAGTGCAAGTTGTCATAATGTGATCCAACCAATGGGCAACAGTATGTCTTACAAAAAGAGAACACAATTTATTAAGACTAGCATCCCTGTTACAAAAGATTTAAAATCACTTCTTACTGCTTCTATTGTACTTGGAACAGTACCTGGCACATAAGAAGTACTATCTAAGTATTTGCTACTATATTAGCATTAAAACTAAACTAGCTACAGGGGTGCCTGGCTGGCTCAATAGGAACAGCATGCGACTCTTGATCTCATGAGTTTGAGCCCCACACTGGGTATAGAGATGATTTAAATAAATAAATAAATACACAAACTTAAAAAAAAAACTAGGGGGGCCTGGATGGCTGTCAGTTAAGCATCCAGCTCTTGGTTTCAGCTCAGGTCATGATCTCAGGGTCTTAGTATCGAGCCCGGCATCAGGCTCTATGCTTAGCAGGGAGTCTGCTTGAAGATTCTCTCCCTCTGCCCCTATTCCGACTCTCACATGCTCTCTAAGTAAATAAATAAATCTTTAAAAAACAAAAACAAACAGAAACCCTAAACTAGCTACAGATAGAGTGCATGCAACGGTGGAATTCTACCTACTTTACACAGCCCCTAGAGTCACAGAGACAACCTGTACTTAAATTGTCAAAATGGGGTTCCTGGCTGGCTCAGTCGGTGGGGAATGCTACTTTTGGTCTTGGGGTTGTGAGTTCGAGCCCCACGTTGAGTACAGAGATTACTTAAAAAAATAAAATGTTAAAAAAAAAGAGAGAGAACAGAGTAGGGAATAGAAACTGCAATAGGTCCTCACTGAAAACATGAATATAAGGCAGAGTCAGTTTCACATAACTACAAGTGGATTATCTAGTACTTAAGGGAGGAGATCTTAAAAAAAGAAGTAGGCTAGCTCACATATCAGGTCAACAAGAAATGAAAAAGTAGGTTCACAACCCAATTTAACCTCCTCACCTCAAAAATGCTAAGAGGATGGTTACATGTCCTCCTAAAAAGTGGCACTAGACAGAGATGGAAAACCAGCTGTATTTTCTCAGTGCACATTAGGCTACTTTCCTCTATCATTAACTCACTAGTGACAGAAAACACCAATCTCAAAAAAAAATCCATGCAGTGCATCCCAAGGCACAAACTTTTGGTTAACCAATTATAAATTAAATACGCTAACAGAAACTGAATGTATATAAATGCAATATGCAAGAAAATTTAAAACTTGTGAATTAAAATCCTACACATCAGTGAAGAGCAAATGAAACATAAATGATAAATGTGGTGGCTTTACCATTTTGTTTTTGCCTAAGTTTTGTAACGCAGTTATCTAATTTGCAGGTGAAAAAAACCTGAAGCAAGATGACAGAAGATCTATTAACAACCAGAAGTTCAAACACCGCAGCTACTTAAAACACTCTTGTCCACTAGGAAAGAATCCACAGTGGCACTGACTTTCTTCCTTCTATGGACATCAAAAAGTACTGAAAATGATATGAATAGTTAGGAGAGACTCAAGAGACAGCCCCCGAGGGCTACACCAGTCCCACTAGATGGCACTATCACGGGAAAGGCACTCGGGTCTCCCATTTGGCGCAAGGGCTGAAAGCCTCTTGATCTTTGCAAAACTGAAAACTACCAATTCAATGACATCCTCGTTGGGAAATTATGACCCATAATGAGGAATTCAAAGCTAGAAGGAGGAGTTTTTCTCAAAGCACCTTCCCTCCCAGTAGCATGGCCTCCTCCTCCCCAGTCCTATTTCAAATCAGTGGTCTGAGGGATACCATATTTTGCAGGCAAAAGAAGTCATACAAAATGGAGATTTTTTTTTCTTCTTCCTGACTCCAAACTACAGAAAAATTTACTTGCTTCCCCCCACCCCCGCCACGTTTCTTTGCTATGGGAAAAAATCAATCGCTTGCTGGTCCTTGAACAACATTTACTGTAATCAGTATACTTACTATGACTAAAAACATCAAAATAACATACAATCAGTGACATTAAAACATTTAGATATAAATAAACTTGTTCATATATAAAAGGAAGAACTTCCTATTAAGCAGGCAGATTAAGTTTTCTGACACCTTAATTACATGATTTTAAGTTGGGCCCGGGCAGCAAGATTCACAATTGTCAATTATCCCCATCACTTATGCCCTACTCCATCAGAAGTATACTTGGATAAAGCTATCATGATCTTAAAAAACTGAAGAAAAGCATGCTTACGACAAAACCCAATGAATTTAAACAACATACAATGTGAATACAAACTTACTTTTATTCCATAGGTGCCCACTTGCACAGACAGAAGATTTGGATAGGAACCTTCTGCTGAGTTCCCAAATTAAAAGACACGTCAAAGGACATTATTAGGTAATCAACTGAATCAGAGATCAATCTAATACTCAAATAAACTGCTCACTTCCAGCTGAAGCTACTTCTCCTAGTGTCTTTAATATATGTCGACAGTCGGTATAGCCACTCCAAAGTGCCACAAGTCAATCATTTAATAAAAGTGGCCAAAGAAACCAGGAACTACAAAATACGTAACGAATCCTGTGTTCCCATGGCACCTGGTCACAGTTCTAATACAAATCTCACCAAAGTATCATCTCCCTCTCACGTTCTCCACAACGGAGGCTTGGAGGCACTGAGCTGTCCTTCCTGACACCCTCCACAAGGCCTCCTACACAGCAGGCACTTAACAGCTGTTGAATGAACCAAAAAACTATCAAGCTGTTCAGCTCACCAAAACTATGAGACCCCTCAAAGCAGCCAGTTTTTCCCACTAAACCTTGCCAACACCTTCACCTTTAAGAAGCTACTAACCAAAGCCTGAGACTAACATTCAGGTCACCGTAAGAAACAGCACAGAAAGAAATGTATCGCATGAAGTCAAAGATCAAAAATTCACAAGTCTCAAGCCCAAGTAATGCAACAATCTCGGATTGGTGAAGCTTTGAAATAAGACCTCACAAATATATTTTACATGTTGTATTAAAATCATAAATATATTGCACTAAAACCATCTTATGAAAGCAGAGGGGTGAACGACATGAGGATGCACAGGAAGCCATAACGTTGCTTAACTTAACCACCTGACCATTAAATGGGGGCTTGATCTTACTTTATGCTCCCAGAACAAAAATGGTGAGTAAAAAGGAAAAACAGGAGGAGAGAGAAGGCAGTCTGGGGGGTGCAACCAGGAGGAATCTGTTGAACTGCAGACTGGGAGAATGACAAACTTAACAGAAGCAGATTTTTCAAAACTCTAGCATGTAACTATCCAAAAAAAAAAGCGCCATGTAATGAATCTATGCCAGTATCTTTTTGTTAACAGCTTTTTTTTTTTTTGAATGACTGAGGAGTTTTGACAAAATATGGCACAAAATCCAGATATACACCCCATCAGTATCCTTGCAACAAGACCCATGGGAAACCTGTCCCACATTAGAGGGGAGAGAGAAGCATATACTCCCACTCAGAATCCCTTCAATACTGTTAAGTTAGGGGAGTGACTGGTAGGACCTAAGAAAAGTTCACTGGAACCATGAGCTGATCTCCCCTGCAATCTATCAGCATGGCCCACCCAAACTGATCTTAATTGTTTTCTAAATGTGTTTCAATTAGTCCACGAACAGTGTTCACTATCAGCATTTTACTCACCTTACTAACACCAACTCCTGTAAACCTGGCCTCTAATAATTCCTGCCGTCGAGGGTCCAGGCTATGCAATTCTTCCATCATTTCTACTGAAAAAAACAAAGTAAGTTGTAAGACCATAAAAGCTAAAAACAGGAGGTACCAATCTGTAGATAGAACAAAATGCAGTACTTATTTCACTGAATGGTCACACACAGGTAAAGCTCAAGTAGACACAGCAGACAAGGGATAAACTACAATGCGCTGCCTCAAACAGCAACACACGGAAAGTCAAAAATGGCTCAGAAGTCCTCTTCCGAGGGCTACTTACCCTTGTCTAGTTCTGGTCTGATTTTAACAGCAAAAACCTCCAACCCTTCATATAATCTCAGTAAAAGTTGAGCGAGGACTACCTTGCAAAACAACAACAACAACAAAATCCTTCTATCAACCTTTACATTTAACTAAGTACTTTTGGATATTTGTTTCCCAAACCCATGGGAACTAGTTCATAAACTAAAAATATGAATCGTTAATAATAACTTAAAAATAATGTAGCATGAATCAGAAGCTACAAATAACTTCAAATAACTCTATTATATAGCTCCTTGCTCTGAAGAGCTCACGAAAAAAGGAATTAATTATTTTAAATTTAATAGAGAACCCATGGTAAAACCATCAACCAGCATGCACTCAGGAAATCAGTAGAGCTCCATAACCATCCCTTTACAAAATCTTTTTCTGACCACTCCCTGGAGCAGTAGGTTTCTCTAGACATCTGCTCTGAGCACTTCTTTCAAGCAGGGAAGGGCAGGAGGACACCATTTTTAAACTCCTTCCACGACCAATAAATGCACAGGCTACTTTCAGCAAATATGTCCATCCACTGCAAGAGATCAACTCCTGCAGAATCCATTGGAAACCTCTCTAATATTCAAAGTGGAATAGGAGCATACACCATTACACAGAACCCTTTTGAGCATATTATTAAACAGCTATTGGAACGACTGGCATGATTTAAAAGTTCACTGAGAACATGAATTAAACATTCTCCTCTGCAATCTAACAACTCCACATTAACTGTAGCAACCCCTACCAGTCCTCCAGTTTCATTTCCCTTCCTGGATTGAGAGCCTGGGGCAAAGGGGAATGAAAGGGTGACAAATTCAAGTTTCACCCACACAAACAAGTGCAGGTTAGCGAGGGAATAAGGAAATTCTCGAAAAGGCAGAAAGGCATCTTAAAAAAGAAAAAGAAAGGAAAAAGGGGATTGAGAGAGAGTGCTTCTCCTAAGTGGCCTTCCTCGCGTCTCGCCCTGCCCTAATCGAGGCCGGAACGGCAGAGGTTGCAGCCTCCCTCACACCCAAGGGTCTCTCGGAACATTTCCTAAACCTCCATCCCCAGGCCTGGGCCGGAAAATGACGCCCCAGCGGTTATTCCATTTAATGTCAACTCATGTTAAGGAAATCTCCACTCTGTCTCACTCCAGCGGGGCCTTGCACTGGGATCCTCCCTGCAGCCCTCCCTACAGCCGGGAAGCAGAACCGATGGGGCCTGGTCCCGGCGCCCCTCGCCTCCCGCCGGCTCCGAACTTTCCCCAACTCCAGGCCCACCTGTCACGGAGGGCGGGCGGGCCGGCTCTCGGGGGCGCCCGGGAGGCTGCCGGGGCCTCCAGCTGCCGGGGCGTCCCCTTCGCCCTGGCGGCCGCCGGGCCCACTTCCAGGCCGGGGCCGCCTGGGCCTCCCCCATCTTCAGCCCGGCCCCTCGGCGACCCGCAGCCCTCGGGGAGCCCCTCCCGCCTCAGCGCCGAGGAGCTGCGGCCCGGAGCCGGGCCCCGGGTGGGCCCGGGCCGCAGCCTCCTCAGCTGAGGGGGTCCCCCGGACGGTTAATGCCCCAGGCCCGGCGCCCTCCCCCGCCCGGAGCTCAGCCTCTCACCTGCCGCCGCCGCCGCCGCTCCACGCTCCTCCCGGGAGGGGCCCCGACCCGACCCGGTCGCGGACCGCTCCGCTCTCCCCCTGGGCAGGCCCGGGGCGGAGCCGGGGCCTCTCCTGAGCGCCGCAACCCCCCGCCCGGGCAGCTGCCGCCGGCGCCGGGCTCCACGAGAGGGCGGGCGGGGGAGGGGGGCCGCGGAGGCCGCAGATCCCCGGGCTCGCGTACAGAGCCAGGCGCCTGACGCGGGCCCGGGCCGGGGCGGCCGCGGGGGGCGCGGGACCGGCCTCCTGGCGCCGGACAAAGGCCAAGGGAGGCGCAGGAGGGCCCAGGCCGGGCCGGGAGGTGGGGGCCCGCTCGGCTGGGGGCCACTCGGGTGCGGCGCGGAGGGCGGGGGGGGGGGGTCGGAACCGCTGGTGCCCAGGACCCGCCTCCGGCCCCTTAATCCGGATCGGTTCGGTCCGGATTAGTAGTGATCGGTGTAAACACACTAGTGAAACCGCGTGTTTCCTCGCGAGATTTGCACGGCTGGGAGGCAGGGGGGGTCCTGGGGGGGTGGGGGAAGAGCCGACAGTGGGGGAGGAGGGGGAGGGGACGAGGAAGGTGGGGGGGTCCCCGCTGCCCCGGCGCCCCGCCTCCTCCAATCAGCGGCCAGGCTGGCGGGCAGGGGTTAACCAGGGGACCCCGCGCCGGCGGAGGAGGCCGCCGCCTCGCCGGGCGGCGCCGGCGCCGGGCCGCCCCGAGCCCGACCCGGGCCCGAGTCCCGGAGCCCCCGCCGCCGTCCGTGTGTAGCCGGCCCCCGCCCGCGGGACCGGCCCGGCCAAGGCGGTTGAGCCGGCGCCCTGGGCCGCGGACCGGCGCTGGAGGGGCCTCGCCGCCTGGGCCGGGCGCTCCCCGATCCGCCTCGCCGAAACCCGCGCCCGCCTAGTCCCTCGTCTCCACGAGTTTGGCTGAGAAGTGGGCTTGCTCTGCCCAGGGATGGATCTTAGAGGAAGAACGCCCGTGAGCCGGCGGACCCCGCCCGAACTTCCTCGGAGACGCCCAGTTAGTGAGTTCGCGGTGCCCACCGCGTTGGCCTCTCGCACGCCCCGCCACTCTCCACAGGGACCGTCCGGCTCCCCAAACCCACACCGGCCGCCCTGGAAAGCGGACAGCCACTTTCCCTCCACATACCTGGCTGGCAGAGGGCGCCTCTAGGGACAAAAGGTGCCCTGGGATCAAAGCTGAGCCCCCAACCCCGCCGGGATGCTGCCCTCCGGAAGGGGGGGCGCTACCCCAAAGGGACACCCCGGGCACCCAGGGGGGAGGGTCCATTTCCATCTCTGATAAAAAAAAAAAAAAAAACCACGGCCCTCCTAGGTACTTAGCGGGACCTGCGGGTAAGTACTGGAATGGAAAATACACACAGGACGGCTGCTGAGGAACGAGAAATAGGAAGGGATGAGCTGTGGTGCCCCTGCAGCAAGGAGGGCCTCCTGCATAGGAAGAGGCGCCCACTCTGATCACCCAGCAGCACCAAAGGAGAAAAAAAAAAAAAAGCCCATTCTCACCGACTCCTAGGAGCCAGGACACAGGCTTCAATGCAAATACTCAACTTTGTATTTTGCTCTGACGCCTAAAGATGATTTAAGGAATACAAGTGATTCACAAGGGGAAAATTCAGACAATGAACAACAAACAGCCTTGAACTTTTCCAGGGGGTAGGCTAGTACTTCAAGTGGAGTTTGTGCCTTTTTCTCTTGCTTATTTTTTAATTCGTGTTATATTAACAGAACACAGACTTGCTGAAAGAGCAGAGGATGGCAGTTTACTGTTCGTTGTTTGACCTTCCATACCCTTGGACCAGTTCAGGCACTGTGGGGAAAAAAAAAATCCATTAAACCAGGAGTCACCTTGCCCCAGATCCCAGCCAGGTTGGAAGGTGCACACACATATTTCCAAAGGTAACAGTGTTTGAAGGGGAGGGGGAGAGCCAGTTAGGGGCAGAGTGTAGGAAAAAAGGTCAAGGTGGAGGGCTATCAAGAGAGCTGGAGAACCAAGGGGCACACAGTATACACAGGACTTGCCTTCCCCTCCAACACAAAAGACCAGCAAATGAGGCAAGCTCTTGCATTATAGTGAATAATCAAGAAAGCAACTCCTTAAAGCGACGCTGGAATGTCGGGAGAAAAGAGTTTTAAGAGGAGCACTGGACAGAGAATGAGAGCTGAGTTCCAGTCTAGCTGTCCCACAGACAAGCTGCATGGACCTGTTTGTTACCCAACCTTTTCAAGCTTTCAACTTCATCTATGAAGGAACGGTTTGGACTAGATTTACAAAGTCCTTTCCAGGTCTAAAAG